CTCACCAGCTTCTTCCGCCACTTCTTTAGCCACCTCTGCCAGATCCTCATCGAGGTCGCTCTCTCCTTTGGTCTCCTCAATGATCTCCTCCACTATTTTATGTTTGATCTTCGAGGTTTTAGGCTGGCTGTAAGCAAACACAGGGCTTGAAATACTTCCAGAGACGGTACGGAAGCGCGTCTCCTCACCCTCCAGCAGTTTCCTGCATTTGAGAGAGAAAAGTGTCATTAATCAAATGAATGACATGCAAAAAAGCAAAAAGGTGCACAACTCTATACCTGTAAGCTGCTATTTCAGCATCCAGTGCCATCTTGACATTAAGCAGATCCTGGTATTCCCGAAGATGACGAGCCATTTCCCATTTTGTTCCCTTCAGATCATTTTCCAGTTGGTGAATCATTTCCTGTTGAAGCAGATGCAATACATTTATTTACAACTTCATTCATGACTAAAATAAAAATCTGTTCATTTTTGTTAAACAACTTTTAATTCTTTTAATTCCTCATTTTGGTGTAAATGCTCTCTTGGTATCCAATGTAGCACCCTACATCCATTTTATGACTTGTTTAATAAATTCTAACAGATCTGGCTCAAGTTAACCCAACAGGCCACTGAAATGAAATCCTGCAGCGCTAGTAAAAACGTATGTTTTTTTTACGCAGTGCGCAAACCACCTGTGAAATAATGGCTGCGTTTCAAAACCTAGTGTGCAGCATTTTTGGGCCATTCTATGTTTTGCAAAACAGTCACGTGCCTTTAAGTACACCCTAAGTTCAAAACATTACCGTCATATCATGAGAACTGCGTAAACTCATCCGAAATCATTATTTCAAGTGGTTTGCGCAACGCGCAACTGCAGTGTTCATACTTCCATTATACTAGCGCAGGATTTGATCATAAAAATCATTAAACATCGAGAGCACATTTGAATTTTTTAATAAAACTATGCATAAAATACATGATAATTGTATATTTTATTTTAGCATTTATTTATTCATTCGTTTAATATTTATACATTTAATATTTTTAAGTTAAACTTATAATGTATTCACTTTTTTTTATTTTTTATTTTTTAATAAACTGACCTGATAACTAGCAACGTCGGTGTTGTGGCGGTCTTCGATATCATGCAGCTGCCTTTCCAATGAATCTTTGGTGCCACGAAGAGCCTCCAG